CAAGCACAAAAAAAAATCACACGCGTTGTTTGATTTTGTTGCCGGCAGGAGCACGAGGAGCTGATACGGATCCAGAACGACCAAGTAGCAGAGTCGCGGGACGAGGAACAAACCAAGCAGAAGGTGGCAAGCCACCAGGCGTGCATGGCAACCATCCAGCAGTAAGTATGTTTTGGTTTTCCGTTCTCCGCAAAACTCCGTTCGACCCTTGTGGAGAAGCTGTTTTGCTTGCGTTTTTTTTCCGGCGAATTTGTTTGTTTCGTTCTCTGTTTTGCACGCTGGCTAATTGCTGTTGTTGATGTTTGCTGCGGTTGTTGATCATTGATGGTGGTGGTGGTTTTGCTGATGCTGTTGGTCGTCGTTGCTCTGATGCTCAGGTTGACGAACGTCGCTGAAGAGTGGAGGGAGCGCTTCAGGCTTTCCTCTAAACCGGCAGAGCTAGAGGAAGAGCAGGTGGGTTGCGTACGACTCTCCTTGTTGTCGGTGCTGCTAGTACTGCTGCTGCTGCTGCTGCTGTGTTTGCTGGTGTTGCTGTTGTTAATCCTTTGGTTGTTGGTGTTGCTGCTTGCTGTTGTTGTTCTGGTGGTTGTTGTTGCTACTGCTGTTGTGTGATAATGTGGTATCCTCATTATCTCATGAAATTTGGGTGTTGTCCCCTCATGCCCGAACCGTAGATGCAATCACTGGGGAACACTGGTCGAAATTTCGAGAGCGTGGATTCGAACCCCGATCCACGCACATAGGTGACACGTGACGTCATGTCTGGCTCCTCTGTAACCAACCTAGAAAAACGACGATGGCATTAAGTCTGATATTTTCACGAAGCTAAAGCTAACTTTCAGTACACGTGCGACGGCGCCCCTTCTAAGACGAGGCTCGAGCAGGAGGGGCGTGAGAAGAAGCAGGAGCTGGAGAGGGAGGAGAAGGAGGAGAAGGAGCTCTTGGCCTCGAGGTATTGGAACACAACTTGCCTGCATAGGTGTGCGTCTAGCGCCTTGTTCTTCTTGCTGCTGCTTGCTTCGTAAATGAAACGGTTTTCTGGCTCGTCCCTTACAGCTCTCTCGCGATACCAGAGTAGAATAGTCCAATGCTCCAAGCTTTCTGTCTGATTGCTTGATTACTTGCGCGTACATACATGCGTATGAACACATTCCATGCGTTAAGTTTTTATTTTTCGATATTGGCAACACACAACATCTACTACACACCCCTTCTGTCTTTCGTCTTTGATTTTCGGGGTTGCGTGCGTCACTCGGCCGTCGTGTGCCCTTCCTCGCCCTTAACGAAAAAACGATGAATTAACGATCAGGAAGAAGGTGGACGAGGACTTGAGGGAGGTGGAGAAGTGCGCAGAAGAGGCCGCACGCATCCAGGCTCTCCGCGTCGAGGTGGATATGACCAAGAAGAAGCTGCAGAGGCGAGTGGCTTAGAACGCCACGTACGATGCATTGCGTGCATGGGTTTGTATGGCTATGTATTGCGGCAGCCCTTGTGACAGAGAGTGACGGGAGACTGTATGGTCCAGGTATCGCGTTTGCACGGTATGTATATGCTCGAAGAAAAGAGACACGGTGGATGTTTGCGAGCTTCGGGGGAACACATTCAGATGTGGGGGAACCAAGGGGCGTTCTTGGGAACGGTCCTTCCTGCCCAACGGTTTCGCAATTTTACGGGTTCCAGAGTTGAACGACAGAGTATCTCCACAGGCATCCACCATTGTATTATTCTCGACGCCATCGGGAGAGTTTTTTTTTGCTTTTTTTTTGTAGCTCTTTCGGTGCTAAGTTTCCTTGTGCGTTATTTTCCCTGCTGATGATGACCTGGACATACGCGTTCGATGCGCGTCTTGTGTCGAATGCTTCCTGTGTGGGGTGAGTCAAGTCAATGCTGTACAGCAGTTGAGAGCGGTGGTTCGAAACGCCATTTTGGGGTCGAGGTTCATCTTGTACAGCACTAGCACGGTGTCGTCGCCACCGCCGTCGAGCACCGTACCACTACAACGTGGTAGGATACATTGGTGTAGTAGGATCCGCCGCTTTAGGTACCCTTCCCCACACAACCATCCTCTTCGTTTTCGTACAAACCTAGCCCATTTTCCCTCTCGGGTTTTGTTGTTGTTTTTTTTTGGGGGGGGGCCGGCAGCGGTACGTTGTCGGATGGCGAATGAACACAAATGAAGAGGTGGGTAAATAAAGTTTACCGAGATGACGTGTTGTGCAGGTACAACCAGAACAAGGGGACCCTGGGCGAGGCACAGGAACGCCTCCGAAAGCTCACCGCCGAGAAGGACAAGGTCATCAACGATGTACAGGTAGGTGTGGCAGCAAAAGCAACCCGCGGAGCTTGTAAGGATTGCACAGGACTGGGGCACATGCGAACGTATGGCAAGAAATACGACTTCCAAGACATCATGCCCTTCGGCTGTGGTTGTATCTTGAATGGGTGGTCATTCTGTGAGTGTATTAATTTCCACGAAATAACATTCGATCTGAGCGGAGTACGCATCAGATGGACGTGTGTTTTATTTGTGAAGATTGGCCATGGAGGGGGCCCGCAGAATTTGGTACATATACCGGAGAGACCCAAACGGCTTAGTCTTGGTGGTTTGGGCGTGTCTGATTTTGAGATTTAGCGCCTCTCTCTCTCTCTCTCTCTTTGGCTTTCGCGAGTATCCCACCGGTTCTGTCTTCCGTGCAGGCGTTGTGTAGTGGGAGGCCCCGTTCCTTTTTGGGTTGTACCCACAAGTGCAGCAAGGGGTTGGGGGACGATTTAGAAGAGAAGGGAAGTTTGGCCAAGAACAAGAATACGTGACAAGATTTTCTTTCGTCCACTGCTGTTGTTCCTCCTGCCGGGTTTATTTTCTGTCCAATCAAATCAAACCGAACCGGACGGGAACCGAACGGAACCGAACCGAACGGAAGGGAACGGAACGGAACGGAACGGAACGGACCAGGCCAAGAGGAAGGAGCTTACGGCCCTGGGCAACCGCAAGTAGGAGGTGACCACCAACAGGAACATGAGGGAGGCGGACTACGACAAGGCGTTCAACGACCTCGAGGCCAAGAAGGAGTTCGATAAGAAGAGGCAGGCGAGTTACTTCTCAACAACACCGTACGCGGGGGGGGGGGGCAGGGTGACTCATCAGTTGCTTGCCCCCTACCCTTCCGGCCCCCCTGTGAACCTAAATATCAACCGTTCCCATTTTACTTCC